GCTAGGAATTAGGTTCCCACAAATGTGGAGAGGGGGTGGGCATTATTCTGCCTACCACAGTTATTAGAACATGCTGGTGGCTTCTGGAATTTTGTTCACTTCCAGCTCTTTGTTGTCACAATTCTTAAGAATTATACTTGAGCTGTTCTAGAATATTATCAACTTGGTTATTAAAGCTTATTTTATTGGGCTTTTTCCATACTATATTTTCCTTCTGTTTTTTGAAACATGTTTCCCCCCCTCACTCCTTCATGAGTTTCACCAGGAGTCAGCTTTCTGTAATGTCATTCCACACAATTCATAAAGTCTTTACTAGAGATCATTATTACTGTAGTTTGGCTTACACTAATAATAGGAAAAGGATGATTGAATTTTAAAAGTGCCATACTAAAAACATTTTGAAATATCACAATAATTGAAATAAAAGTGGATTTTTTAGAGAGTAAGAAAAGGATCTTGAATATTCAGAATAATATTCTAAACTTTATTAGTTACTTATAAAAAGGAATATTTTGACAATCATATCATGGATATTGTTGAAATAAAAATTATGAAAAAGTAGAAATATTTTATAAAGCTAAGAACAAAATACATAATATAGATTGCTTATTGACATTATTATTTTACAGGCAAGACGTTTCAGAACCCCGACAATAAGGAGCATCACACCATTATCTGGAACTCCAGGTTTGTTATGTAATAGCTGAATTAATATATGTCACATTACTTCTTTAGATATAAATTATGATACCTGAAAATTTATAAATACCATAGTTTCTAGTTATAAAAATAATAGTCATTACAGAAAAGTGAGAAATAGATAAAATTATAAGTAATCCTACATCACATATATATCAATGATTAGATCATCTATTCTTTTCCTAATCTGTGAATATATGTGCTACATGAAAAATATATTATATTACAGAATTGGAATATATGTGCACATGTGCACATACATACACCACAATGTTGTCTACTTTTTCCACTTAAAATTATATGGTGAATATTTTCCAGTTTTTTAATATTCTTCCAAAATTGATTTTCTAATATTACTACTATTTTTTAAATGATTGGACATTTGGCTGGCTTCCCAAGGTTCATTACAATAACTTATAATCACACTAGTTTATAAATTCAACAGTATCACTCAAAAATACTCATTTATGTAAACTTGATTACTCTGAATATTAATTTGTATTAATTTTTTTCAATTATTATATGAAAAATATAGTAATTTTAAAATTCCATTTATTTGATTTATGCTATTGAATTTATTTTATGTTTATTAACCATTTGTATTTCTTCCTTTATAAATTACCAAGTCATCTCATTTGCCTAATTTAAGGCTAGTCATCTTTTTCATATTAAGATATAAGAATTTCTTATATATTAGTGAAATCAATCACTTCTCTGTTATTGTGTGACAAATAATTTTTCAAATTTATTGTTTTCTTTTAAACATTCATGATTTTTCTGTCATTGAGAAATTTTCATTTTTATAAAATCTGTATCCTTCATTATATATGCCTTCATTTTTATACTAGAGAATGCCCCACCATCCCAAGATTAAATAAATATTCTATAAATATTCACCTATTTTTTTCTAGCATTTTTAGGTTTTAATTTAATTTTTATTCCACCTGGAATTTATCTTGTTTTTAGTATAGAGCATGGATTGTATTTTCAAATAAATCACTCATTAACTCATGCAATAATTGTTGAATATTATTCATCCAATCTTTCTTGAAACATCTCTTTAAATCTATAAATAATACTTATAGATGTGTACTCATGTTTATTCTATTTCCTACAACTTTCAGAACAATGCTAAACAATAATTGTGAACAGTGTTTGGATGCTGATTTTACTCAGAACACTTCTAGTGTTTGGGTGTTACAATCATGGCTAGATACTCTTTTTTTTTTTAAATTGTTATTTGGGTGAAAATTTACAGAGCAAATTCACTTTCCATATAGATGTCGACTACAATTTATCACAATGCAACAGCTCCCCTCCCACTTCCTCCTCATAGTTACCTCTTCCCTGTGTCCATCCCTCCATGCACTCCTGCTCCCTGAGCTGTCTCCCTGTGCATAAACAGCCTTTCTTTCTCCCATGATTGTTTTCTCCAAGGAGTTTATCTATCTCAGGTAAATGTTCAACTCATATGTCTGTCTTTTGTTTGGCTGGTAGCCACAGGTGTGAGTTCAATTCCAGTCCTGAAGGACCGTAGTGTCAGTGGTTCCACCAGGCTCTATCGGACCAGGAAACCTGGTCTCCCCCACCCCCACTCCCCTTTTTTTTTCTCCAGATGATTTTGAGTTTAGTTCCACATTGTTCTGTCTGTCTATCCAGGATCTCCTACATAGATCCCCCTGCAAGTGGTTGACAGTGATAGCCAGGCACCATCTAGTTCTTCTGGTCTCATAGTCATATAGGCTGCCAACTGCATGGTGTACCAGTTGCTAGGACTAATTGTTTCCATGAATTTTTGGTTTTTTTCACTCTTCTTTGCTCTGGACCAGGAGAGACCCATTGTTGCATCGAGATGGCTGCTTGCAAGCTTTTAAGATCCCAGTCACTACTCGCTGAAGTAGGAGGTGGAACAATGTTTTGTGTAGTATGTTATGCCAATTGAGTTTGATGTCCCCTGTGACTATGGTCCCAAGCCTACAGGTTCAACTACTCAGTCCCTCTGGGTACCTGGCTGTGACCAAGAAGTGACTACAAACTTGCCCCTTGTCAATGGCTAGATACTTTTATACAGAACTTTTTTCCCCTTGTTTTTAGGTGCATTAATAACCATCCAAGGGAGAATCTTTACTGATGTCTATGGAAGTAATACTGCACTAAGCTCAAATGGAAAAAATGTTAGGATTTTGAGGTAATATTTTGATGCTAAAACATATTCTTATAACTCAAAAGTAGGATATAATATTCCATAAATAATGGATCCAATGATATTAAAAACAACCACAATGTGATGGGACTCACCAATGTATTTTAGTGATGTTATAGGTAGAAAACTAGATAGTTGGAGGAGTCATTGGCATGGGAGCAATTGTCAATACTCCTTTCTTTTCCGATTTGATATAATTCCTTCTCTTTCTGTTATAGATTGTATTAATAGAAGGCACATGAAAGCAGGTCCAATAGCAATTAAGTTAGAGTCACAGAACTTTAGTACTGGAGGACACCTTCTATATTTCATGTAATGGCTTCATTTTGCACATGAAAAAGAAAGAAAACTGAAGCCTGATGGTCATGTAGCTTAGTCAAGTACAGGAGGAAACCAAACTGTCCTGACACACAAGTTGGCACTCTTTCTTCTGTACCATGTTGTTGTTGTTGTTATGTGCCACTGACTTGGATCCAACTCATAGAACCCCTCCTTGGGTTTCCAAGGCAGTATCACTACAGAAGTAGATTGTCCAACCTTCCTTCCGAGGAGTGGCCTGTGGGTTTGAACCGCAAGCCTTCTGGTTAGCAGTCAAGTGCCTTAGGCACTACCCTATCCTATAAATGGCCAATAATGTATTAATAGGCCACAGCTTGAACACTGGTTCCTCTATCACTGGTTTCTCCATTTACCGGCTGTGTCCAGATCCATGTTTTGGGCTGGAAACTAGCATTGTTAGTAGAGTTATCTTCTTAGGACATAAGTGGAGTTATCTCAATCCTGCCTTAAAAAAACCAAAAGTCCTGTGAAGAAAGTACAGACTTAGTATAATGATTTTCAAGATGCTTCATGCTTATTGTATAAATGAAATGAGTAAATGGATAAATTAAATAAATAATTCAAACAGCAATTAGAAAATTTCTTTTAATACAAGTGTTTAAATAAATATTTATATACCACTACATATTATATAGGAGTTCTGGTAGCGTAGTGCCTAAGGCACTTGACTGCTAACCAGAGGCTGGCAGTTCAAACCCACCAGCCACTCCTCTGAAGGAAGATGGGGCAATCTACTTCCATAGTGATACTGCCTCAGAAACCCAAGGAGGGGTCACTGTGAGTCAGGTCCGACTCGACGGCCCATAACAAGAACAACAACACATATTATATATATTCATATACATATGCATAAATAATTTTCTAAAATGATGGATTTGAAAAGTGTTAAATGAAATAAAGTTGATTTATCTGGCCTCCTATGAGGCCGAGTTCTCAAATCACAGTTGCATGCACCTACATTACTCTGGAAAATTTCATATTGATTCCTTATATGTAATAACAGAACTATTACATATAGAAATGAATATTTTATATAGAAAATTTGGCATTATTAAAGATTTTGTCTGTTTCAGGGTAGTTTTAGTGTTATGCGTGGTTTACAATCTAATTCTTAAATTTGATTTGCTGAGTCATCCTTTTCCGTAATTATGACAGGAAATAGAGTATTTAGTTTTCAAACAAATTTTTTTTTTTTTCACTGCAGCTGGAATTTATTTGTGGATAGGACTTATTTCATGAATCATAAACTCAGAAGGGGTCTCAGAGACCAGGGAACATAGCCCTTGTGCTATGAAATCTGAGATATGAATATATAAATATATTAAAGTTTTTTCACACATCTGAAAATGTGAGAAGGTCTTAGAGCTGCATTTATCCTCTCTCCACCATGTTAATGCTGACATTAAGATCCCCAAGTTGTTGCGTTGATCCTGAATTTCATTATCAGGGAGGGAGAGGGCAATGGGCCTTGTACTGTACGGAAAATCAGGAGACCTTAGTGCTCGAACTCTTCTGCTTCTCACAGTTTTGTGAATTCAGGCAAATTTTCCATTCAAACCAGTTGCAAATTATTGAGGGCATACGAATGAGTAACAGACAGTACCTATGAAAGAATTTATGGTCTGTTTCCATCCCATTACCATCTAGTCTATTCTGACACATTGTGACCCTATAAGATAGAGTAGAACTGCCCCCGAAGGTTTCCAAGGCTGTAAATCTTTACAGAAACAAACTGCCTCATCTTTCTCCCACCTGCCCTTCAGGCCCACTATTACCTACTTTAACTTGCTACTTTTTCTTTTCCATAGTACTTATCACTTTGTAACACACCAAATATATCCTGATTATCATGTTTATTTTCCATGTCCTCCACTTGGAATGTTGGTCCCACAAGGGCAGGATGCATGTTTTGCTGCATTCCAGTACCTAGAGCAGGTAATGCCACATGATAGGTATTTAGTAGATATTTGTTGAATGAATAATTGATAATAAGTGATGGAGAGAAAAATAAAGTGGCTAATTCGCTTGGCTAATAATTGATTTGAAACCATTTATTAAATATTACTTAATCTCTTCTAATAAAAATTTTTATACAGAGTGTATATTGGAGGAATGCCCTGTGAGCTTCTCAAACCACAATCTGATAATATGTAAGTAGTTAAAATAATTTTCTATAGAGAAATAAATGGCAGATACAAACATACTTTAATAGTAATTTCTAATGATATTGCATAGCTAAATACTTTATAATTTGTAAATTATAACACACCATATAGTAATTTAGCAGTCCTTTATTTTATATGTTGTTGTTGTTGTTATGTGCCGTCGAGTCGGCCCCGACTCATAGCGACCCCTCCTTGGGTTTCCGAGGCAGTATCACTACGGAAGTAGGATTGCCCAACCTTCCTTCCGAGGAGTGGCTGGTGGGTTTGAACCGCCAGCCTTCTGGTTAGCAGTCAAGTGCTTTAGCCACTGTGCTACCAGAGCTCCCTTATTTTATATAGTGTTACTGATACCTCTGTCTTTCTCCAGTGTATTATGATATGCACTATTACTTAAATTATGATAAGAAATGATGTTTTAAGAAACAATTTTATCAAATTGTTTCATGTGGTACTATTTTAAATACTTTAAAGGAGCTTCAATGGAGATACCCAAATTAATTTTAATTGTTAAATAAACTTTTATTCAAATATCTTCAACCAAGGCTGGGAAACATTTTCCTTTTACAGAGATTTTTGTTGTAACAACAATTTCTGTCCTGAAGCATATTTTGAAATTAATAAAATGTTTTTAAGGGGATGACAATATTTTAAAACTGTAGTGTCAGTGTAAACTTTGCAATTAACATATATATTTTATTAGGTACGGTCTAAAGCTAGACCATCCGAATGGGGATTTGGGTTCCATGATTTGTAAAACAACTGGGACTTACATTGGTAAGTATTGATCATCAATCTTCGTAATCTCATAGAAGCCTGACTCATTTCCTGTTTTATATTCTTCCAGTTCTCTGCCCTTTGCTTTTTATCCCCCCACCCCCCTTCTTTTTTAGGCTTTCCTCTTTTCCTTGGCTTTTTTTTTCAGTTTCGTAAGAGCATGTAATTTAAGAGCATGTATGAATGAATGAGTTTCTCCTAAGGTTATATTTAAGGTAAGCTTATTCAAGTTTTTCTTGTTCTTCTTTTTCCACCCTTCAGAGGGTTTTATGACTAATTTAACTGTTTCACCTGTAGATAGAACGTTACTTCATTTTTATTTCTCCTTGCTCTTTATACTCCAGGTGCACAGATCTTTTACTTCTTGAATGAACATCACTTCCTTCTACCTCGGGGCCTTTGTCAGCTTCCCATCCTGAAAATTTCAGATAAATTTTCATATCCCAAAGCTCCCTCCATTTTTCCTCGATACCTTTAGCATACTATGCTCGTTAGTGATAGATTTGTGTCATTGCTGTTAACTGACTTCCTCCTTCACGAGGCCATACGCTCTATGAGGGTTGATCTGTGTGTTCAGCTTGTGTGTCTCCACACCTGGCAGCACATCTGGCTCAGTTCTGAATGGATGGCATTTGAAGGCATATGGTTATGATATTTGCTCTTTTAGTATTTTTCATTCGTTATTATATTTAGTCAGATTTTTCTGGTTATAATACATATAACTGTGTATTTTAAAACTGTATTGGAAAATTGTATCCTATTACACATATTTATTTATTTATTTTTAACTGTGATTTGGGTGAAGATTTACAGAGCAGATTCACTTTCCATAGAGCAGTTCACACACACTTTGTCTCATGACATTGACCACAGTTTACCACAATGCAACAGCTCCCCTCCCACTTCCTC